AAGGATGAATTGGTTCAAAAATAAAAGTTGAGGGACCAATTCAAGTATTTAACCTAAAAAATATATTAGCCACCTCAACATCACTATTCAATTAATCCTTAAATAGAAAAAGTTGAAAGTTGACATCCTTAAATAGAAAAAAGTTAAAAGTTGACATCCTTATTTAGAAACTGACAAAATTAACATTTTTATTTAGAAAAAAATTAAAAATTAACATCCTTATTTAAAAATTGTCAAAGTTAACATCCTTCAATAAAAAAAAAATACAAAATTAAAATCCTTATTTACACCTTTACTCCTTCAACTGAAATCACACGCAAGCTATCCGATCAACTTGTCTTTGGTGGCAAAACCCTTTTGTTATCGATGATGTCATCATTCCATTTGAAATGGACGTTGGGCCCATTGGGAGGACCTGCTTTTGATCTGGAAGTCAAAATCGGTAAGGTTGATGCCATGTCATTAAAAATTAGTGCACTGATTTTATCAAAAAAATTAAGGTAATGATTAAATGAGGTAAGGTTTATTTTAATAATTAAAATTCTAAATGGGACCTATATGTGGGTCTAGAAAGTTCACCTAAGCATGTAGAGTGAAATTCTTGCAAAAAAAAGAAGGCATATATTAGAGTCAAAATAGTCAAAAACGGTCATGTAAGCAAAAATTAACAGGAAGATAATGCTATTGTTAGTAGAAGGATTTTTTTGTAATTAACAATGAGTTTGAGGATTAATTTGCATGTGATTCCATTGATATATCTTTGCATAAAATGCTATGGAATTAATCTACATGTTTTATCTTAAAATTTAGTCTCAAACTCTCTTATCTATTAAAGAACCTCATTGAGGTGAAAAATTCAAATATATGAAAGTTTCTAATGATCTAAAACTAATCAATATTTAACCATAAAGTCAAGCAAATCCCAAATTTTATCAACATTTAAGTACACCACTCAACAATGAGAAATATGACAAAAGGAAAGATAGCAACACAATGTTGTCACTATCTCTTGTACACTAAAATAGAGGATCAAGGCCTTTAATGTTAGCTGGGAAAGGAAAATAAGCGCACCTTCACACCAGAACCAAAACCCCATAAGTAAATTTATAATGAAAAAGTAGCAAAAAAGGTGAGTTGATCATAAAAGGTTTTAATTTTGTACCTTCAAAACAGATCCCCTAAATTCGTCAACAAAGTTTAGTGAGCCAATCATCGGAATGTGTTCTGCAATAAAAAATACAAGTTCCCTTTTGAGATATACTAGAATTATGATCTCACTGCTTGCCTAACTCTTCAGTTTTCTCAATGCATTTTCGAGTTTTTTATTATTGGAATAGGTCCATGACCTCAGAACCTATATGTCATTTTGAGAGTCTCGAAGACCACGTGGGAAAGTTGACACATATTTTGGCATTTTATTCTCCCAATTTCGTGTTGGATGGGCTAAGCTTTTTCCTTCTAAAAAAAATTATATGATATAAATGGGTGGATTTACACAAATATTTTAAATTATAAGATTGGGGCTTTTAAAAGGAGTTGCAAATGAGGCTTTGCTCCAAAATGCTTATAATTTATTGAGTTAGATAAATTTTCATATTTGAATTTCAATCTTATAAATTTTGATTTATGGTCACAATAAAAGTTTAAATTCTTGTAATATATATCAAACAATCAACCCCTATTATATCCCCCCAAAGAAAAAAAACAAAACAAAACAAAAAAATACGATATAAAAATCCTAAAATATGTTTCTTTTCTTTATTAACATCTAAAATAAAGAAATAACATCTTATTCTCTCTTCTCAAACTAAACAAATTATATAATATAAATTGTTGCGGAAGATGCATAATTATTATAATTCTAATGTTAAAATTCTAATTTAAATAATCACTTTCTCTGATTCTCTATATCATCAACAAAACATCATAATTCAAAGCACTGCCATTTCCACAGATAGATCATACACAAGAACTTGAACTGCTGGATGTTGGTTTTGAGAATGGTATAGTTTTTATAATGATGCAGGAGAGATAGACAATGAGGGACAAAATGCATTGATAGTGCCACCAAATTTTAAGTTATTTATAGGGCTTCCCTTAAATATATAATCCACAGAAGCCAAGTGTTGAATTCTCCAGCATCTAAGCATGTGGGTCAGATAGCTCTCTTTGCATTTTCCAAGGTCCCCCGTCTAGTTGTATACCAACATCGATGAATTCAGATCTTGATCCCACATATCATGGAGGCTGCTTCTTCCACATTTTTAAATTGAAAGGATATCTTTCCACCCCATGGCATTCATGGGGCTTCTATTTTAAAGAGGCCAATAGGGTAAGTAATCCTGTACCTTTCGAGTTGTTAGAAATCAGTTCTTTTTATTTGATTTGATTTTATTTTATTTTATAAATCAACCTATATTTTTTACAAAAATGAAAATTAGAATATTTAGACATTTTGGATAGATAATGAATATGATTTAATTAAGTAAAATCAACATTATGTTTTATTCATTTTGTGATTATGATTGAATACATTTTTAAACATAAAGATATCATAATTTTGTGTATCCTCCTATATTTTTCAATTGAATTAAATTAGCTCAAATTTAAAAAAGTTAGGGTTGCAATTTCCATTTTTTACTGTCCTTAGCTAACATGGCACTTTTGGGTATGCTCTACCGTCCTTAGTTTTAAATTGAAAGAAAATCTAACACAAAAATTTTCTTGGGATTTATGTCTCTCCTTTACATGAGGGAAAAAATTGGAATGACTTATGTTACAAAATATGTGATTTAAGATTTTAATTAAAAGCTTTACGTTGATTTGTTTACTTAGATTAATATT